GCAAATTGCCCCAAGAGTGTCGAGATGTGATCTACGCGCAATTTCGGCGCGGAAATGATCGTGGACACGTATAATAATTGTCGAGATTGATTTGATTCGTCCAACCTGGTAGACATAGCCATATATTGAATATAGCTGTGCAAACGAAACGTCTTTTAAAACTGGAGTACAATCAATTGTATGTTAATTGGATCAAGATATACAAATGACCCTTATATAAATTCATTGAATAAATTCATAGAAAGAACACAAGTCGGGCGCATTGTTAAATCGCGTTGCTCGCCAGAAGAAGAGCCAGCACGCGGCAACATTCGATACACGCAAAAACACATCTAAAGGCCCGCGTCCACGTTGCTAGAACTTGGTCCAAGTTCTAGTTTCAAGAGAAACGTGCAGCCAATCGGCTTGCAGCTATTCCATAAGAGCTGCAAGTTGGATTGGTTACACATTTCTCGCAACTGGAACCTGGACCAAGTTGTAGAATCGTGGACACAGGCCTTTAAAGAAGTTGGCAGTTAAAAGCCCGTTAATCCACTTGGTGAACGTTGCCGCGATACGCCGCGATTATGCATAAAGGAAAAGTTGCGAGATTCGCCGTTGATCCACCGATCGATTTGAGAGGCCGCGATCAGGCGCGGGATACCGTCCACCGCAGCCGCCACCGTTGCGTAACCGCCGCGCGTCTAAACAGTCACCTCCGTCGGCACCGTGCACCAGTTCTCAGGGACCGCGGAGCGTCGCCTTCGGAGTCGCTTTAATCTGAAATCAGCGTTACGGACGTAGCAGACGACGATCGTCCGATCGGCCGACAGTGTCGATGGCCTAATCCGCATTCATTTGCGATCAATCATCCCCGGCCGCTGAGGCATATTGTCTCGCTTCCCCGATTAAATTTGCGTATCAATTAATTTGGGAGGAGCGACGGGACGGGAATGTTGTAACGGATGTCTGCGTCCTTTTACTGCTCCGGGGCGATTGTGTTTTTATTCCCGCGGACTAAGAAATAGCCGAGAAGTAAAAAGCGCCTGGACATTTTTTTTTTCATTCTGGAAAGTATGCGACGTCTCGCTTTCGAGTCGTGACCTATACCTGAAGTTAAAATCGCGCGACATTACAGCCAAACGCGCACGTCTCGAGGAATCGCTGTTTATGCATCGTTTCTACGGGGAAAACGAAGCTTATAACGCAAGAAATGGATTTTAAGATATTTCTGACAGTTTCACGTAACTCATATTTCTTTCAAGTTACATTTTTTCATCTCGGAGTAACGAAGAGGTGACGAGCAATGTCGTCGGGGAGATAGGTCAGGTCTGAAATAAAGTGTCTAAAATAGAGACCGATGATGTGGCCGCTTTCCTACATGCGATCAGTCGTTGATAGTTTTCCTCTCGTTCAAACAATTTCATCAATATTTTCATCAAGATAATCCGGCCAAGTCCAGCGACAATTTTAATCTTACACAGTTGGAAAATTCGTGTTTTCTTGTTAAAAGAAATGTCCGTTAAAATTTTTGTGTTAAATGGTTAACACATTCATGTGTTAATTTAACAGATTGCTCTTATGTTAATTGACCTTAAATGTAAAATTATTAAAATAACTGAAAAGAAATGTTGAAACAACACAATGTGTACTTATTTTGTAATCTTACACAATACATATGTTCTATATTATTAGTAACAAGATTTATCTGTTAAAATTTACAGAATGAAATGTTGATTTTATTCTATATAACATAAGAGAGTGATCTCGGACCATTTGGCTTATTACATCTGGGCCTGGATAGTTCAGTTGGAAGAGCACTCGCCTGGCAAGCTGAAGGTCCTAGGTTCGAATCCTAGCCCGTTACTTTTCTCGCCGAAAAATAAGTGGCGTGTCTTATTGTTAGTGCCTACCTCCCCGAAGATACATTCCTATTTATTATGAAATGTGAAAATTACATTTTTTAAATTCATTTTGTCATTAAAAATATGTTAAGTTTACACAAAATTTATGTTAAATGATTTTGAGATTTGCATTTATTTTGTGTTAAAATATTAACAGACTATTAGTGTGATCCTTTAACATATCCATATTATGTTAAATTAACACAAAAATTTGTGTGGACCATTTGGGACATGTGATATCTGTTAAATTTAACACAAATTTTTCAACTGTGTAGCAATGGTTCGAGGAGCCGCTTCTCTCGGCAATTTCGCGGAACATTATCTTAAAGATCACATAAAGCTCCAAGCTTCTGTATTTTTCCCGGAAAGCGTTCCGGCTCTTAACCTTAAGTCACCTGACCTGAAGGCCCGAACACATGAAAAAACTTAAACGATAAAACTTAAGACTTAAGGAAATGACAAATTCCGATTGGTTAAAATTCTTAAGTCTTGCTGCTTAAGTCTCTTCGTGTGTTTCCAGCTTAAAGCCTAGTAGCACAGTGCATTGGCCAAACATTGGTCCAATACAGCCATGAAATATTCGGTCAGTGTTTAACCAATGTTTGGTCAATGCACTGTGCTACTAATGTATCAGCTCTTGTAAGCAATCCAGCACACGGAGAGAATTTTCTTTTACAATTTATCTTGAATTGTAATCGTGGGACAACGCGGCATTTCAAAGAATTTTATGAAAGTTTTTTTGAAATTTTACCATGGATTCCACGAGTAATTGTACTTAGTATACATTTTACTAGTACAATATACACTGACAAAAAAATTTTGTAACTAAGTAAATAGATTTACTTAAAATTATTTTTTTGCTGAAGTAAATATTTATTCTATTTAAAGAACAATATCAAATTTCAAGTAAATGTATTACATTGAATTACATTAACTAAATTAATTTAAATCATTACATTTTCTACATTCAAATAAAGATTTCATGAGATACATAATACTATTTATTAAATGAAATAATTGTTTCTGTTAAATAAGAAATTCAATTTTCTTCGCTGTGAAAATTACATCTTAGTAAACATTTTATAGGCTTAAAATAAAATTTTTTAAATTTAAAATTATCTATTCTTTGGTATTTAATAAATACTTAAATTAAAGCAATGTTTTAATTTGTTTATTATTTTTCAAATTTAAGTTAATAAGCTATTAGGAGCCACCTAATGAATAATTTTCTTGAGTAAAGTAATATTTTTTTAGACTGAGATATTTTTTTATCAATGTATGGTAAACTTTCAAGAAGCTCTCATAAAGTTGTTCAAAATGGCATGTTGTCCCACGATTTTCAGGGTGAATTTTACGAGAAAATTCTCTCCGTGCAGGGAAAAATAGTATCGTGTGCCGTTGGCTTTAGAAAATACGGCGATGGATGGAGCAGCGGAATCGCGACGGCGGGGTTGTAAAATCGCACGCCTCTCATTATGCGCCGCGTGTCGTTGGTTCTCGCCACCTCGATTCCGCGTTATCCTTCCCTTCCTATACGCGGCCTCGTTTCCGCGCGAAAAGCACGTCCGGCGTTGTAAGAACGTCGGGCCGTAAATACCTCGTAGCGCCTAGCTACTACGCACGCGTTACTGAATAATATCCACCTGCGGAAATCGTCGAGATTATCCCTTATGTAATCTCTTTATACGGCGCGTAATCTCGTTTTCTCGGCGGCGCGGTCCGCGCATTCCGTTTACCTAACGACCTCGCCGCGTCGACCGTCAACAGTTTCCGCTGGATAAAGCAAAAAGTGCCGCTTTCTTACATGCCGTCGCTCGGTGATGGTTTTACTCGCGTTTAAACAATTTCATCGACATTGTCCGGCGAAGTTGAGCGACAATTTTAATCTAAGACCGGTATTCGTAGTCAGATCTTATATTCAAAACCGTCTTGAATTTATCTAAGGGCCTGAGCAGAATGGCTGTTGTATACGCTTAAGACAATGTTTTATGTTTTAAACCTTTGTCTTGAGGTAACACACAATAACTGTATTATGTCTTAAGAGTACAAGACAGCCATTCTGCTCAGGCCTTAAAGATGCTGTACGGAATATTTCATTGGCCACGGAGTATCTAAAGATGATCTTACGACCGTCTTGAGCATAAAATCCGACTATGAATACCGGCCTTGGCAATCGTTCGAGCGATATTGCGTTACGTTATTTTAAAGATTACAGAAAGCTCTGCATTAAACGATATTTTAAGCGATAAAATTCATAAGACTCTGACGTGGAATCATAATTCGCAGGAATAAAGGATAGAAGAGCCAAGACAGGATGTTAGCGTCTAAATGATTTTAATTTTTTAATTGAACCAGGAACTTCCTCTCACTGGGCGGGCGTCTTACTAATTTTTCGCAATAAATTAAAAAATTAATATCATTTAGACACTAAAATCCTGTCTTGGCTCTTCTATTCTTTATTTATTCGAAATGTGATTTTGCATGTTTTCTCCGGAAAAATATCCCAGCTTTTCCCTTGGAAAAATATACCTTGAAAATCTTAACATTTTACTTTAAAAAAATTGAGAAATGTAAAAAGTAAATTTGGACACTTAATACTTTTATTTAAGGTAAACCTAAAACTTACTGTAAGAATTTAAAAGAAAACTTTAAGAATTATGAAAAGTATGTGATATAATTTCTAATACCGCGTGCGATTTCCCTCTTACGAGAAAGTGATGTGCCGTGCGGCCCTCTAGCGGCAACTCCGACAGGCTTGGCTGTCTAAAAATTACTTCAAGTGTCCAAAATCACTGTAAAATTTCTTAAGTAAACTTTTAACCTCTTTAAATAGACTCTTAGATTTAAAAGAGATCCCTTTTAAAAACTTTCATTTCATTAAGCCCGGTTTCTCCAACGTTGTTTAACTTTAAGCTCAGTTTAATTCGTTCTTTGTCTCTTTCCAACTGTTACTTTAGAAAGAGACAGGGAACGAATTAAACTAAGTTTAAAGTTAACCGGGCCTTAAAGTAAATTTTCCCAAGGGTTACGAGTTCTATATTCTAATTGACAGCGATATTTCATTATGGAGAGACACGGTGGAGCGCCACGAATCAACGTATTTGCTTTTGTCCGCAGGAGATTAATGGAGAGGGGCTCGTCCATCCCGTGGCAGGAAACGCTGCGAGAAGCCACCGGCGAGTCCAGATTAGACGGATCCGCTCTTAGGGAGTACTTCCGGCCGTTGGAGGACTGGTTGAGGACCGAGAATTTGAGGACGGGCGAGGTGGTCGGCTGGTCATACGGTAAGCGATAACGAGAGAGAGAGAGAGAGAGAGAGAGAGAGAGAGAGAGAGAGAG